CCCGGGTGGGGACAGTGGCCGGGATCCTGTATCAGCGAGGGGATGCTCTCTCGAAGGCCAGGAAGGGCGACTTGTGGGGGCTACAGAGGCAGGAGAATGCCAGGGGGAAGGAGTGGCATCATCTGAGCTGGGGTCCTAAGAAGGTCAAATGTGTAGAGAGGCGACACCCACCTTCCCCCCATGCCTTCCCCCAGCCGTCACTAGGAGTGTGTGTGTGTGTGTGTGTGTGTGTGTGTGTGTGTGTGCACCTCTCTCTGCCACTGTTCATGCAGTCCCCCGCCCCGGGGACCCTGAGCCCAGGGCCCCTTCACAGTCTGGGACTAAGCACATCCCTACTTGGAGGCCTTCCTCTTCAGTCCTCTGAACCTGGAGACAAAGAGACTAAGGAGATACCAGGAGCACCCCATCTCCCGTGCACACACACGCACGCTGTACCGGGCAGAAGCACAGGCAGACGGGCCTGCAGGGAGGGCCCCTGTCAGGTGCGCTCTCACCGGGACAAGTGCACACCCAGGAGGGTGCACAGATGCACCCTCCCCCCCAAAGACAAGGCTCCCCGAAAGGTTCATGGACCCTCATCTGGTTTGTTTATGCTGTGTGCTAGTTCCTAGCCCTCTACACTTCCAGATCTTTCCTTTGATTTCACACCAAGTCCAGGGCCCACTTTTCCATCCCTTTCTCCCTTGCCCTGGCTAGCCTTCAGGTCAGGCACTGGGAACTGAAGGAATCAGTCAGGATCTCAGCAGGAGGGTGTGTGCGAGGTTCCTACAGCTAGACAGCAGGGGGGAGGGGTGGGAAAGCCCAGGCACCAGGAGAAATCCAACTCAATACCTATCTATTAAGTGGCTGTTGGGTGCCAGCACCATGGTAGGCAGCCAGGATGCAAAGAGACAGGCCCTGCCCTCAGGAATACCCAGTCTAGTGGCAGAGCCAGACATGTAAACAAGTCAGTGGGTTGACTGTCGGACAGAACTCACCGAGCGCTTTAACAATCGAACAGGCCCCAGAAAGGACCAAAAACCATTCTCTCTTGACAAATGACTGAGCTGCAAATGTCTTCCTTCCTACCCACA